AAAGTGACACTTTCGTCACTCTTCCAACATATTCATTGGCACTGTGGAATAGTGGAAATGGCGAAGTGTTCTCTGTATTTAAATCAAATTTTATAAAGTTTCTTGCAATCAAACACAATCGAGTACAAAGCAACGTGTTCAAGTTGAAGAAAAGAATGTATTTAAAAAAAGAGTAAACACCATTTTTAGTCCCTGTTAATATCTACGAAGTCCTTTTTAGTCCCTGGCAATAAAAAAGGACCAAATTGGTCCCTGAAATTACAAAAAAAGGGTCATGTTAGTCCTTATGTCAACTCCCAAATATGTAGAGTGGCCCTTTTCTTGTACTTTCAGGGACCAATTTGGTCCTTTTTTATTGCTAGGGACTGAAAAGGACTTCGTAAATATTGACAGGGACTAAAAATGATGTTTACTCTAAAAAAAAATTGAAGAAAAGAAACTGCTATTCTAACTGCATTCAGTCAACATCAACATCATCATTAATAAATTTTTGTTGAGAAGATATAGCATGACGTGTAGTTACTTCTTGACATATTAGTGAAAAGGGATGCATGGCTTTCTTAATAGTTTTTCTTGTGATGTTATAATTGATCTTTTTATGTGAAAAAAAAGGTTGGTGCTCAATACCTAATTCAGTTCAACGCCAGCTTTTAAGGTTTGCTTATCTTTCAAGCCATACCACGTTGCAAATTAAGGTACTTTTTTTCTTCTCTCATATGCCACATCTTTGCTTAAGGGTACAGAAGGAGACAAACCTTAAAAACACGAACAAGGATTATTTGAAAAATACCCCGTTTGGTAAGGGATCATGTATGTTTGTGGACAAAGATGACTTAGGTCAATGATCATTGTTTCACGGAAACATTAGGGACAGCATTCCCCAAAAAAGGATGTACAACTGTACGACTATTATCTTAAAAATAAAACTATATATCATATGGAACTTAAGGCGTGTTTGGTTCAGGAATTTTTTTTAGAATAGTAGGGAAATGAGATAGATAGAGAAATGATTGAAAAGATAGATAAAGTGAGATAGGTAGAAAAATATAAAAAAAAGTTGTTTGGTGGAGAAAAACTTTACTGAAAAAATTAGGTAACTTCATGAAATCAACAGTGCATTAAAAGCCAGATAACCGATTTTTCGAAAAATCCCACCTTCAAATTGGGTTTCTAAACAGTGCGGATATCTATTTTTCTCATAAATCCAGACAAATTGGATAGATGGATTTTTGGTGAAAAACGTTGAAACAAATATGGTATTTCTAAAAGCCATACTTGAGAAACATAGATATCCTCTAAAAAGCTCCCAACCAAACACCACCTTAATTACAAAAAAAAATAGAACTACTTGTAGAAAAAAAAGGAAAATATTTATGTTTTTAAACGACAGTCAATTTAGTACAAAAATGACCCAAACTTACTAAAGGTTGTTGAGCATACGAATGTACGGTGAGTTGATCAGAAGAGAATTTTTGTTGTTTGTTAGTATTGTCATATTATTAGCTAGAGATCATAGGTTTCATGTACGTAATTATCTTCTTGTGAAAGTAACTAAGATCGCCCATCGTACACCATTACCTCATCGTGCATAATCATTTACCAACATTGTTATACATGGTTAATGTAAATATCAATTTAAACCACAAATTTAAGTTATTAAATTAAAGTTACATTAATAATTTTATATATTATAATTTGTCATGTCTTCTCACACAGGAATTTTTTGGATTTAAAATGTGAACAATATAATTTTTTGATTTACCTTGAGTTCTGGTTTTAATTTATTTAAATAAGTATTGAGATAATTAAGTAGTTACAAAATTATCACAATTAATTCACCGTTATATAATTATGATTCTCCTATATAATATGATGATATTAACTAAGATATGATATCATCCATTTAAAAAAACAAAAAATACCCTACAGCTAAATTTAAGATAGTGTAATCTAAAGGCAGCGTGTGGGATAACCAAGAATGAAAGGGTGATGTGCCTCAGAGCACGTTTGGTTTAGGAAATTTTTTTGGAATAGTAGAGAAATGTAATAAATAGAGAAATGATTGAAAAGATAGATAAAATGAGATAGGTAGAAAAATGTAAAAAAAAAGTTGTTTGGTGGGGAAAAACTTTACTGAGGAAATGAGGTAACTTTATGAAATCAACAGTGCATTAAAAGTCAGATAACCGATTTTCCAAAAAATCTTACCTTCAAATTGGGTTTCTAAACAGTGCGGATATCTATGTTTCTCATAAATCCAGACAAATTGGATAGATGAGTTTTTGGTGAAAATACGTTGAAACAAACATGGTGTTTCTTAAAAGCTATACTTCAGAAATATAGATATCGACAGAAAAACTCCCAACCAAACACCACGTTATGTCATAGCCCAAACACTGAAAAAGAATGTAGGAAAGAAGTGATGGGCCTGGGCCTGGGCCAGTTCATGTTGTATGGAGGGGGCCCACTTACTAACGTTCCTTCAACGGTTTTTTGCGGAGTCCTTGTCGTTTCATTATACTTTTTTCAGGACGCGTGTGGAGCTGTCAATCAATATGAACCGTTCGATTAACTTCCTGAATTATGAACCGTTCCATTAACATCCCGTTGAGATTAATCATAATGCATAGCTCGCGCCGCGTTTCAACGCTCGCTGCTGCCGACAGTCTTTTTTTTAAATGAATAATTAAAAATAATATACGTGGTTACAAATAAAAGCGAAAAAATGACGTATCTCTAAATTAATAAATGTTTTTCAAAAGAAAAGTTTCTAGTTCTATGCACTGAAATTTAATTTTCGTCTGCTTATATTCTGAGAAAAAATTATGATAATTTTAACAGAAAAATATGTTTACAGTTATTATAGACAAATTATCTGTATTTACTCTCAATATAAATGAGATTGAAATATTAAAAAATTATAATTATAAAGACTATAATAACCCTGAAATAAATTAAAATTATAAAAATACTATGATTTCTACCCAAAATAATGTCGTATTGGACTTGCTACAGATAACTTATTTACAGTAATTGCTGAAAAAGCTAACCCTAACTTAAAATCAAAGAAGGAAAAAATCCCATGCTACATTAAATAAGTTTTTCTTTCTACACACCATTCGTTAACTGTGTCATCTTTTTTTTTCAGGTGGTATAGCTCACAAATTTATTTATATAACATGAGATAATTTATCTCCTTTGACATGAGATTAATAAAATCCATAAAAAAATGCATTTACCAAAATAAAAAATAAATAAAAAAACGCTATATAAGTTTATGAGGATGGTTATACTTATAATTTTTTTTTATAATCTCTTACAACCATATCTTAACACCGTTGAATTCAGCCAATCAACGGTTATCATTTATTGAGAATTGATAATTAATTAATGAGTTTAATTTACGAAAATCATAACTGTTGATTGACGAAAATTAACGGTGTTAAGATATGGTTGTAAGAGGTTGTAAAAAAAAAGTTGTAAGTATAATATTCCCTAAGTTTATTGTCTTCTTTTTTTGGTAAGCATATAAGTTTACGAGGAAAGTTATACTTACAATATTTTTTTTACAACCTTATCTTAACACCGTTTATTTTCGACAATCAACGGTTATCATTTATTATGAATTAATAATTAATTAATAAGTTTAATTTGCGAAAATCATAACCGTTGATTGACAAAAATCAACGGTGTTAAGATATGGCTGTGAGAGATTGTAAAAAAAAAGGTTGTAAGTATAACCTACATCTAAGTTTATTGTCTTACTTTCATGTATGTAAGAATTATTTTTCCTTTTTACTATAAATATTAAAAAGAAAAAATATTTATTATTTTAAATAATACAAGGTTATGTTATTTTTAATAAAATTATATTATTTTATTGTGTTTTTACATTTTTTTTCATTTACTTTTTTTTTCCTAATTTAATAAAAAGCAGAAAATAACAAAATCCACTAAAATAATATAATTTTATTTAAAGTAACACAAAATTACGTTATTTAAAATGACATATATTTTTTTCGTATTGAAATAGATTACATGAAATGCAATTATCTTATACTATTTTTTTAGAATTTAGTTTTAATCCGTAGTACAAATAATTAACGAATTTATTTTGAATATATCGTCAATGTAAATATTCTTATATTGAAATATAATTTATTTTGGAAATATATATTGAATCATAACTTTTTAATAATACATCAATCAATAAATTTAATTACGTTAATATTTATATAAAACATTAAATTCATTAATAATGTAACAATAAATTACAAAATTAAATGTAATTTTGTTTACATAATATGGGGAATGATCTATTTGCAATTTTTTCTTACAAATTATATTAAATACAATTAATCTTGCACTCTTGATTGAAGTATCACTGGTCATACTTAGTATAGTTGGTAAGAGTTTATAATTTTTTTTTATAAATATAATATTTCCAATATATAATATATAATAGTGTATAGATTTTTTCACACAAGTTAAAATGTGCAACTAAAAATAGAAGGGAAAAGTTACTTTTTGTGCTACGTGTGATAATATTATCTTCTACACACTCATCGATAACTGTGTCTCTTTTTTATTTTCTTTTATTTTTATTTTTCAGATGGTGGAACCCACAAATTTATCTCTATGACATGAGATAACTTATCTACATTAACATAAGATTAATAAAACCCAAATAGAAAACATTTACAAGCCGTTTGATAGCCGGTATTCTCCAGTATTCTCAAGAAATTGAATTTTTCTAAATTTTTTAATTTTCAGATATTATCGTAAACTAAATATTTTTATCATATTTTTGAAAATTAAGATTCCCAGGTAAAAAAAAATTGTCCTCTACCAAACGTTCTATTTTACGTTCAAATGGTTTCGGGGATTTTCTCCACAACATGTTTGGAATTTTGACGAACACGAAAATTATAAAAATGAAAATAAAAAGGGATAAGAAACGCACCAACAATATCATGCCACGTTTCATAGGTCGACAGAATCTGAGGCCAACCTTGGTAGCTTTATCAGCATCTACCTCTGCTGCTAACAAAAACACAAATACACGACCTAATTCTATCAAAGAGAGGCAAAACAAAATAAAACAAACGCGCAAAACCTAATCGACTTTTTACGATCCGATTTCTTCGAGGTGCGTTCTTTCACTCTTTGATTTTCTCTCCCCTTCGATTTCTCAACAAAAAGTTTTGATTTTTTTTTTCATTTTCCAGAAAATCTCTACAAATAGAATTTCCTCTTTTATCCCTCAATTTGTGTTGTCTTTTAGTAAAATTTCTGAAAGTCTGTGAAGATTTTTGCCTTGATTGGTTTTCTAGCTCTACGATCTAACGTATTTGATGTGGTTTAGACGATTTTTTTTTCCTGATTTTTTTTTATAGATTTGTTGGAAAATGGAAATGATTTTACCTTGAAGCCTATTTGTATAACTATTTACTGTTTGAATTTGGCTGTTGAGAGGGTCTAGGTAGGATGAGGTTGTGATGAGTAGATATTATTTGTTTTTTTTTTTTTTTGTGTGGGGTTAATTGTAAGAAGGGTTGTATGATAATGGAAGGCTGAAGGAAGAAGAATTTTGGTGGGACTTGTTTTTTTTGTTTTCCCTATTTTTTTTCTTCTTTTAATGTACTTTTGTAGGGAAAGTTCAGCTAGTTGGCTATTCATTTCTGATTCCCTTATGGGTTTTCAAGAAGATGAAGAAAGGAGATGAAGTGAAAATTTCTGATTTTGGAATTTCTGTTTCTTTAATTTTGGATACTTTTGACTTTGCCTTAACTTACTGTCAACACGAAGGTTATGTAGGATTAGTTGGTCAAAATTATCTTATAGATTGTTGCAGCTTGGATTTAGAAAGAGAACTAAGTCTATGTGTGTATTGATGGAAAGGGATGAATGGAATGACATTAGTTGCCATTATTTGGATTGTTTAAATAGGTGGAATGGAATATAAACATCTATATTTCTTCCACCCTATATGAAGGATATGTGATGGGATTAACTTATTGTTTGCTGATTTATTTACCATTCCGTCCACTTCGCAATCAATGGTGAAGTAATTATATTCTGCTCTATCTTGTTCTGTTCCATGACTTCCATCTCATCCCTTTTCATTCCTTTCCACCCATCATTAGATATTCAGATATAGACTAAATGTTTATCATAATAATGGAATAATTAGATAGGAAAGGAGCGGAAATGGTGTTTGGAGTGGCTAATGGAGGCTAGTTATTTGACATTGGCTATGTTAGTATTATCAGAATTTCATATTTTCCTTCTTCCTTCTCTTTTTTAGAAATACTTTGGAACATGCTATTCAGGCATAGTTGTTCTGAAACTTAGTGCACAAGTAAAACGTAATTTGTTATATGCTGAGGTCTTTTTTTCCTATCATATATTTTCATTTGATACAAAGTGCTTCTTGTGTGACTGATGATTGAATTTGTATGGTCTTCATAATTCAGCAATGTTGTATCTTACTTTCTAGTCTTTCATATTACAGAAATACATCTAAATGAGTCGTCCACAGGATCCCCAGCGATCATTCTTCCCTTTTGGAAATCCTTTCCGGATGATATCACCCAAAGGCACTAAGTTGTCTCCACAAATGCTGGCAGTATTACGTGCTTTCGAAGCAACTTTGGAAGAGAGGCTGAAAAAGCTTATTCCCCAAAGCAAGGATGAGATCCTATGCTTGTCTTGGATGACTTTGGCTATGCAGACACTATGTGAGAGTCATAATGACATTAAAACCCTCATAACTGATCTCGAGCTACCTGTGCAGGATTGGGATGAAAAATGGATAGATGTATACTTGGACATTAGTGTCAAGTTGCTGGATATATGTATTGCATTTAGCTCTGAGTTATCACGCATGAACCAGGGTTATCTTTTACTGAAGTGTGCATTGCACAATTTAGACTCTGCCTCTTCAAAGCAGTTTGTTCGCGCCTGTTCTTCACTTGATGGTTGGAGAAAGCATATTGGTTCTAAAAACCATAGGATTGAGAAATGTGGCAGCATTTTGGATAATCTTGTGGGATCACTTGATCTTCCAAAGGTTAAAAAGTCAGCCAAAGGGAAGGTTTTGATGCAAGCTATGTATGGAGTAAAGGTGCAGACTGTATTTGTATGCAGTGTGTTTGCTGCGGCTTTTTCAGGCTCTACGAAGAATTTGTTAGATTTGGATGTAGCTGACATTTATTCTTGGGCTCCAGCTTTTAAAAATTTGCAGGATCTTGTAAATGAGGAAATTAGAGTTAGATTTTCAAGTGGGAGATTTATTGTATTGAATGAGTTGGAAGTGGTTGATTCCTCTGTGAAGGAATTATATCCTATTATCCAGGATGTTGTAGATACTATTGAGACAGAATCACATGTGAAGATTGTTGTGGAATTAGGCAGAGCTACAGAGAAGCTTTCACAAGGATTAGATCTTCTTACAAAGGAAGTGGATGGCTTTTTCCAAGTGGTCTTGGCTGGTCGTGACACCTTGCTATCTAGTCTGAGGTCAGGTGCAACTGTCAATGACCGCATCTTGTGGGGTAATACAGATGCAGAAGTAGTCAATTGAATATGTTGCAGCCTAACTCTGGTATATACAGATGGATATAGGTATTGGGTTTTCTTTTTTTATGATTGATGATGGTATTCAATCTTGTTTGGCTTATTGTATTCAAGTTAGCATGAGTAATAGGTTATATAATTGTATTATTGTGCTGAAATGTATATCTGTGATGTGCTGTGTAATGTTGAACGATAAAATATATATAACAAAGTTGTTTGTGCTTACAGAAGTTTGTTAATTTGCGACCTTGGAATTCATTGTATTCATTAGTTCATGAAATCTCTGGGTCTCTTTCTCATTTTAGGTGGGAATTTTCTCTCTTGAGACTTTAAACGTGGTTGCTGTTTTTTTTTTTTTGTGGGGGGAATAAAACTTCAGTTGTTGGTTGTTGATTCTGGACTTGTCTTTTCATCTGGATCTGGAAAGGCTTTTGCACTGGAACTTGGTAAAAAGATTATATTAGGAAAATTGACAGTTTTTTTTTTTTTTTTTTTTTGCATGGAATATAATCTGCAGCTATTAGTTTACTTTCAAAATTTGATTAAATTTATTTGAACGATTAAAAGACAAAAAAAAAAAAATTAAGGATGCATATGAACTCTCAGCTTCATTTATGAGGAGTATTTGACTCTGTTCTTGAACATGGAATTTACCAGTTGGTGGGCTATATCTACATGGTAACATACAGGTTGCTGTTTTTAGGTGTGGTTCAAGCGCCTTTTTTTTAACTCCCTCTCTTGGTATTTGTTCATGTCCGTCCACCTTTATTTGTCCTTAACCTAGATGTCACTTGTCAGTATCTTATGATGGGGTATATCTATCATACAATATGTCTCTTAGCGGTTTTGATCGACTATGATATTACTTAGCATGATGCATGAAATGTTTTTATGGTCTGATATTGTAAAACTCACAGAACAGCTGCAAATCCTTTGTGTCCAAGTGCCACACCTTCTGATCTCGTGACACCTCAGCTCAGAGTCACTCAATGAGTGCCAATTTGGAATAATAATTTGGGCTTGCATTCCTTGCTATTGAGATCTGTGCAAACTGAGTTGTGGTCGAGATCTGAAAACTGAGAAGTGAATTTTTGATGGAATACACAATTGCTATATGCCTATCTATATCAACTCTGAGGTGAGGTGAGAGAGCTTTGCGAGGTCTGTTGAAGAGATCAGAGACCAAGTTTTTTGAGGAAGGATGATGACATTTGTGGGTGGCAAAATGGAGACTGAGGTACCTACCATGCCCTCTTTCTTTTTTCTCCTACTTAAGCCCTGTTTTTCTTTCCCTTTTTACACCATTAAAAGAAAGGCTTCAAACTCAAAGAACAAGCTAGAAAATCCAGAACAAAACAACGTGCTAGTGGAAGCTTAACAAACATAAACAGGCACCACTCATTATCTCTATGCATGACAAGCGTATAGAGTAGAGAACAGTTAAAATTTTGTGAGCAATGTTGGAGATGGCAGCAGAACGATACTTGGCTATGAAGAATCCCAAAGGAATGGCCATCGGCCAGTTACAACAGCTATGAAGATTGACAATTTGAAGGACATGATGGCAAGTAAATCTCTATGTTCACCATTCATGGTGATGATATTAAAAAAATCACATTTGATGGCAATAATTCACACTTGTGCTGATTGGCTTGTCAACGAGGGGAACCAACTTTATCAACTACTACCGGAGAGTCTACACCTTTACATGGAAGATATGGCTAATGTTTTAGATGTTCCTGTTTCAACTTCTGTTTTAATTTCTTTTTAGTCCTCCACAATTAAGAAGATATATTTAAAAAGAAAAAACATAAAGAATAAATGAGTTAAAAAAAACCATGAACTACAAAGAGACACTTCCAAATGAACAAACATAAAATATATAATTGTTTTATCAAAGATTCATGAGTATTAGTCAATAGTGCATATTTGTATTCTCTATACTATTTATAAAATCTTAAGTTCCTCCTTCTTAAAAGAAGAAAATAATATATAAGTTTAAATTATCTAGTAATTTCATAAATGAAATCATATATATATATATATATATATATATATATATATATTGAAAATATAAAAACTCAATCGCATTGGATCAGTTTTTAACTTTCAAATTGAACCAAACTTGTACGCATTATAAAGAAGTTTAAGAAGAAAACAGGTTATCCTAATTTATTATTATTAATGCTAAAAGTTTCAATAAGAACTATATAAATCTAAATGAGAGTTTATCATAATATTTAGGGGAAAGTAATATTTACAAACTTTTTGTTTACAAGCTCTTACAAATTACATTAAGTATGATCGATCATACTTCAATGGTCAAGAATACGGTCATACTTAGTGTAATTTGTAAAAAAAATTTGTAAATGGATGATTCTCGTAATATTTATATATGACCTGTTACCGTAAAATTAGCCATGGGTTTTGTATCCAATAGCCAAGACCTTGAGCCACCATCAAGGAAGTTTCTATTCATACTCGTTTTCAAATTCAATGGTCAACTTTGTAACCGAAATGAAAGGGAAAAAAATAAAACAATAGGTAAAGAAACGAACGAAGACTGACTATGACTAGAAAACAAACATGAGACCAAAATCAACTCCCAGTTGCATTAAATCGAATTGTATAGGGTAATGTAATATCTACGAAGCATACAAAGTTTACTCAAATTTAAGAATGATGGTTCTGATTTTCCATTTAATTGACTAATATAAATGGTCTAAATTCTTTGATTTCTTTGATTAGTATTCATAAACAATTATTTTTTTTGATCAGTAATGAAGCAATTGACGTTCTTCATTTCATATTCCAAAATGGGTGCGAGAGAGAGAGAGAGGCTGAAAAATCTGGTAACCAAGTGCTATTATATTGTAAATTTTTTGGGACATGATCTTTTATATAATAAAACTTGTAGTTGTAGATTGGTCTAATACCGAACAAATTGACTTGACCATTTCCGTAGGTCATAGTTGTAACACCCCGTAGTACTCCGGTTGTTAACATACATGATATTTAACATTCACAGCGGAAGACTTTATTTGAAAAGGAATAAAGCATCTTATAAAAATACGAGTAAACTTTTTCCAAAACATTTCATAAAAACATTTCTAAAAACGTTCACGTCAGATACTGCGAAAGCGTAAATCTAAATATACATCTACTAATTAATCCCATGAGCCAGTATTAGTGGCCATTGACCATCAAGATATGACATCAAGTGTCATTCCTGACGGAGTCTCACGGACAGCATAACAGTTGTATTTCGGATAACTAGAAACATGATTCTACACATACAGATAACCTAATTAATACAACAATTTAAACAGATAGCTTGCAAGTCCCACACGGACTGCAATCCCCTTAATGGGTCAATACAACTAATAAGGCTCCATGCCCAAATTAACTGAATACATGCATCAAGTCTATATTAATTCGAAGTATAAAAGTATCAGTAAATAATCCATGGCTCTAAGAATACTATCATGAGCCTAAATAAATACATACAATAATCTCCATAAAATAATTAAGCATGTTAACAAGTCTACATGCCAACATCAAATCTAAACATAATATAAAATCATCAGCTGCATCATCAACTACTCCAATGCGGGGGCCTTGCCCCTAGAAGCATCACCACTACTCTGGGTACCTGAAATGATGTTCCCAAACGGGGTAAGATAACAACATCTCAGTAAGCTCAAGGTTCATAGAGGATCCTCTAACCCCTGAGCCCACTTCCTGCATAACAAGTCAGATATAAAGCATATAATACAGACATACAGCATAAACATAGCATCATCATATCATCCTTGTGTAACCCTAGGGTCAAAGCCATAGACGGTTACACATGTGTGACTTCCAGGGTCAAGCCATAGACAGTCAACACAACCTCAGTATGAAATAGCTCCCAGAGTCAAGTCATAGGCAGCCTACATACCATGATCACTGGCCAGGATCCTCATAACATATATCATCAGTGCATCATCATAACATCAAGATCATATAACATCTATATGAATGTGAATGAATGCACATATACATCATACCATATACTTTCATACAATATAGCCATAATGCCCACCATCATGGTGGGGCCACAAGAGAGAGGAGTCAACTAGAACTAGGAGCTTACCTTAGGGAGCTTAGCACAAGCCCACACTCCAATATAATACGTATGCTCCAACAAAATCCTCAAGTGCACGGTTCTCTAGGCACACCTAGAGTAGGAACCATTCACATCATTAATTACATATTAATTAATCAAGTCATATCCACGACTTAATCATTTAATGATTCCACTTTTCATACTCATATGCCAATAATATGCCCATTACAAGCCTAGACCAATTATAACTTATTACATATTTTAGTGCATTATTACAAGCCACTTTAATCTTCAATTACTTACATAGCTTAGAATCACATGCAAGGCTCACTTAGATTATTTTCAACTCATCCAAGTCATATTTATGATTATTATAAGTTACTAAGGGTTCCCATAAGCCCACTTAGCTTAAATATCACTTTTACGGTTTTTCCATAACTGTACATGCTTCTGTTTTCTAGTTACTGGGCGTGACTCACTTGTTATAAAATTCTCATCTTTTAGTATGTTAATCTAGACTCAATTACCTTTCCAAAAAGGTATCATATGCCTCATTTGAAGTTTCCTAGCTCCGGTTATCACCATTTGAAGTTGGACAAACAAAGTTGTTTGCCAACTCCGAATAGGGCCCTAAACATCCTTTACCATTTCTGCGATTATGAAAATTATACTAAATAATTTGCTCTAAAATTTTTATTTAGACAAATAGACACATTTATCTTTAATTAGACATATTATGAGCCTAATTTGAGTAATAATTGAGGGAGAAAAAATTCATGGAAGTGTCAGCCATGTACAGCGCCCCTGCACATGCCTCCCTGTGCAGTCCTCACTCAAACGAACATACAGAATGGAATATATCTTCAATTGATACCAAATTTTGACACCACGTAGATAACATCTCAATAGTCAATTTGATATAAGGCACATCCCTATATGATCTCTGTGGAGGAAGATATGCTCTCCCCAATTTTGCCTAAAAACTGGTTACTTAGCCTTAAATGTGTTTACTTAACAAACCTTAATTACTTTTGATTATAAATCCTAATTCACATTAATTCTTGGATTTTTCTATTATTAAGTCGCATTATGAAATATCCTTAGTCCCATTATGTCATGATACTTAAATTTTACTAATTATTTAATTAGTGTACCTAAACCTTACTTTAGTCCAATTTTAGAGTTAAATCCTTGATTACTTTTGTTAATTAATCTCTACCCTTAATTAATCACCTAATTCATCATCTCCTTAATTTTAACACAACTAAACCCTTATGTACTTTATGGGGCAGATTTGATTAGCTATATTAATTAGGATTTTTAGCCATTATTAATCATGATTAGAGAGTTTTACTTAGAGTTAACCCACCTAGTTAATCTTTCTAATCATTTTTCCACACTTAACAACTTAATAACATTTTTTTGTCATCAAACCCTATCCTTACATGATATGGCTGAAATGTTCATGGTCCATTTTTGAGTTCATAGTCATCTTTTTACATGAACATCACTCAAAGGTCCAAAGGTGGCACCTTTAGTCATCCAATCCATCATTCCATGGTTCCAAACACACACACACTTAAGAATCATCATCAAACCATGACATTACGAAATTTTAAACAACATTCTCCTCATGAACATATCAAAACCAAGGCACTCAACAAGAAAAAGGGAGGCTTTTTGGTTCATATTTCCCAAGTGGGAGCTTACATCTTCAAGGTTTCTCCTTTAGCTCAAGTCTCCACCTTTTTCCACCAAGAACACACCTTTAGGCAAGCACACACCTTCATGAACATGCTCATGAGTTAGGCTCAAGAACATAAGAAGAAAAGATGATATTTTTCATGAAAAAAATTTAAGAACACTTACCCAAAAATCAAAGGAAACAAGCAAGCAAGTGTGATTCTTCAAGAGAGCTCAAGAACACAACTCCATAGCCTTTGCTCTCCACAAAACCATGGCTGTTTGGGATGATAAGGGACACGAAATTTTTGATTCACACCATGAAAATGGTATGGTTGTGAAGAGGAGAGTGAGGGGAACAATCTTTGTGAAGGAAGTTTGGTGGTTTAGAGAGATTTAGGTGAAGAAATCTTAGAGAGAAGTGAGAGAGTTTTCAAAATTTGAAACTTAGAGAGAGAAGGAGGTGAAGGGGCTGCTGATCAGAAATGGAAGGGAAGGAGAGGAGGGTGCCCTAATGAGGGGTGCCATGTCACTTAAGTGATATTCGTCCTTTAGTGAGACCCGGTGTAATTTTTAACTGATCTGTCGTCAAATTTTTACCCGAAAACTCTCAAGACCCTAACTTTAAGTACTTAACATTAATTTTGTCTAATTATCATGTTCATAACTTAAAAATTTGATTAGTAGGTCACAGATCCACTAACAGTTGTTTAATTGCACTGTAGTCTTTACCGGTGTTTTTAACTGTACCCGGATTTCATAATCTTCTTAACTTTAACATTTTTGGTCTAATTATGACTTGTTAGGCATATATTGGTCTTTATTTCTATTTTCTTATCTTTTTCCTGTTCCGGGATTCTATCGGATGCTGCTACAGCAGTACAAAATACCCGGCAGAAGTGACTTTTCAAAAATACCCCAATATGGGTATCAATCTTCACCAAATCATATCCTAACCTCATTCATGATGTTTATATCATTAGATTAGCTCTCTAACTATAATTTGCTAACTTGGAGCTATTCTACTAACTGTTATTACGTCAGCAGTCAAATTTAACAAATGAAAATTCATCTGTGCATAATACCTCAATATGGGTATCAAAATTCTTATAATTTTATGCTCATTCCATTTATGACTATAAGGTCATC